ATGGTCTTCTTTGTTTATTATCGATGTAAACGAGTTTCTAATAGCGAACAAGATTTGCCCGATCAACACAGTTGTAAATTCGGTCTGATGAGAAATTCTTGGCAAGCTTTGTTGAAGTTCAATCTCTGAACTAAGTTTAAGACAGTGAAATGCGCTGTTTGAGATACATCTACGTTTTTATTATTTTCTTTAAATTCACACATTCTACTTCTTATCCAAAAAATTATTTATTAGATTATTTACACTACAAGTTTCTTTAAAAAAGATTTGTCATTTATTATTTTTTAATGATATCTTTCTCAGATTAGCAATAACTACGAAAGTATTAAATTTGTCAAAGAATTTGTAATAGAAACGAAAATTTTATCACTGTTTTTCTGAAAAGAGAGAGAAAAGACCTTTTCAATAAGATTTTATATTAATGGACTCTGAATTTTATACGTCATCAAGTTTGTGATCGAAGTCCAATATAAATGGATTGTGATCGATTGATTACATTTAGTCTCATCCGATCGGTATCGTCGATTGCTTACCTATAGATTATGAATGATAATAAAATCATCTGGTAAAAATAAAACCACAGATAAAAGGTTGCATCAATACGGACCGAAAGAAAAATTTTTTTGAGGGAACTCAACTCTCTCTCTCTCTCTTTCTCTTTCTCTCTCTCTCTCTCTCTCTCTCTCTGACAAAAAATGTTGATGAAATCGTCTTGTCATGTTTATGCAATGATTAATACTTGCCAGTTCTCCATGTACAAGTGATGATTCATTTTGCTTGCGAGTTTCTCTGTTGGGAATAAAATGCAGATAATTGATTAATTGAACGGAGTACGAAACGCATTAATCGGTTAAAATGGACTGCCGTTATGCATGAAGTATTATTTCATGGATTATATGCAGCATTATTGCATAGCGGAAAGTTCGTTAACAGCGACAGTACGATATCGGCCAGTTAATAATAGTCCATTCATATGTGTATGATTAATCGCGTGTTCTTATATGATGCTTCAGGAGATATTTCACCGTTTTGTTTATTCGTAATTATTCATTTGCACGTCATATCTGCTTTAAAAGTTGATAGATTAATTCTTAAATATAATAAATCGATTTTTAAATTAATAATTAAATTAATATCCAAACGTTTAATCTAAAATTTCGAAGAAAAAAAAATGTCAATATCGCGCGAGATGAGAATATTAATGAAGGAGACTAGACGTTTTTGTATCGCAATTTCGCTTTCGTACGAAGCGAATTAGTAAGAATAAATTAGAATGGATAAGGATCGTTCCGGGGGTCAACAGACTGTCAGAATGCGTATTAACATTCGTATCGTTGATATGTGTCGGACAAAGTTTCCGCTACTTTCAACTTCCTCCCATACAGAAGGTACATGACCTCCCGGAATGACTCCTCGAATCGTTGGGCTCTCCTTGAAACACCTGGTGAACTGGACCATGAGGACGCGACGATACCGTTAAGGATGGTATCAGCAAAAAGCGAGCCATACCAGGCGTACGTGTTTCGGTGCATCGCTTGTTACTTGTTGAATTCGCGCAAAAGATACGGCGTGACCGCATATAAAGTATATATATTCTCCATATCTGTCATGTTGATTTTATATATATATATATATATATTTTTTTTTATATATTTTATATTTATTTTTGGATATATTTTAAACATCTTTAATTATTTGAAATATTTGGTTCTAGAAACGTAGAGCTCATTTGACCGAATAATAAAATGCTAAGAGTGTAGTTTCGACTTTGTATATTTGACTTGAAATGTATTTTAAGGACTTTACGATTTGAGCTGTGAAGTTTAGTTCGTAACTCATTAATTTATTATATTTATTGTAACAAAATGTTATATTATCGACGCACACGTGCGGCTTAAAGTATTCGCCGATTCGATTAAAACGAAGAAATTGCATTCTTAGTAACGTTGAGTAGCGATAAGCCGCATTAAAATAACGTAACGTCACGAACGACATAATCAATGTTGCCCCTTGAACTCGAGAAACGGCGTGTCGAATCTAGTACACGAGCACGCACGAAACGGCAGATATTTTGCAACGACAGCGCGATTATGAAATGAAGAGAAGAATATGGTTGGGCTATAAAAATCCGGGGAAATATGTTGTAATAATAATTACTGTCGCGCGTGTAACAAGGAGCGGCGACCGGCGACGCGACCCAGGGCCGGAAAGTCAAGGACTAGAGATCTCGCGCTTGGAAAGTGAGTCAGCGGCCGAGGTAGACGCGGGAACTGGATGGGAAAAATTCACCGAGACGAATCATGCGCAATAGCGGAGAACGAGAATGAAAGTGCGACCGTCGCGTTGGGAAAATCCAGATGAATGATTTAACATTCCTCCTTGGCGTACCTCCATCGATATGAGGGAGTAGATTATCGCGAAAGTGTCGGAGGGACCGGGGATGCGAATACGCGAAATCGCCAAACGATACTGCGATTATTTCGAGAACCTTCGTAAATAGGTTTTCATGTTTTTGTATACGTTTTTGTATATGATCGCATATGTTTGACAGACGAATGTATCGTGAATGGCCGAGGCAATTGACGTCTCTCGATTGACGTCACACTTTAATCATTCGCTGATCTATGCTAATTACTACAATTTATTTGGATTTATATGCACATTTTTCATCTGATGAAATAGTTTTTCGATTTTATCGATACATCGCGATATTTTTTGCTGTGAAATTGCTCTCATTAAAAATTATTAATGCGTAAATTTATTTGTGTCTGTTTCGTGTATGTTTCAGATGCCCTCGAGATCACGGTGTTGTCGAGACCACGTCTGAGTAAACAAGTTGTAAGTTGCCGATTAAAAGAGTATATATCGGTTGCATAATACGAGGTTAAAAATATAATTTACTGTGTTTATTATCTTTATTATCATAACTAGAATTATATTGCATAAAAAGGACCATTTTAGATGATTTAGTTCGCGACAAGTTTCATTGCAAAATTCTACTCATAATTTCATATATCTTGTAACATTCGAAAAGATAAACTCTACATATATGTACAAAATACATTTTTTGAATACACATATATGTATATTAAAATATACGGTACACAAAACTATAAATAGATTTGTTTTTATCTTTTTTTACCGCGTTTTATGTCGTCTAAAATAGACTTATGATAAATGGACATGTTATTTTAATCAGTTGCATTGGAATTCAACTGGCCGATTTCTCGCACCTGATTGCCATATTTGAATTCGCAATTAGCATCATCGGTACCTTTCGCGAAATGTAAATACGTTGACGCAACTTTAAGTAGGCGATGTTGCTCGCCACGAAGATATTTGGGATGTAAATTTTTATCGTCGTCACATTTAGTTATACAAACTGTAGAAACTCTTTTTCCTTTCCAAGAGAAGCCAAGGTTATTAAGGCTGAGAAAAAAGCTTTACATCATTATAGGCACATCGTGTATGTGTGAAACAGGGCCACGTGGAGCCACTTTCGTACGGAAACATAGTTCGTGACATTACAGGAAGTCGCTCTTCGCAAACCATCGGTTACGCATAGCGTGGACACGTCCACGAGGCACGGAATAACGAGCCCTCGCGAGAGATCTCGAATACACTGGCCATGACCTGTCCTCCACCCACGCAAACGAGCGAAACGATGCGAGCTATTGCATTGTGCGTAAATATTGAGGCTCACAGGGCAGATTGCATCCATTTGAAAATTAAGTCGAGGAACACTTTGATGCGCTCTTCGATTAAAATTATGAGACTGCTCTGGTTGCATTACGTTAAAAGCAAGATATAAGAATCTGCATCAATTTTTACATTTTATTACTCGGATTTGAATGCCGAATAAGAACGGAAAAATTTATCGATACTTACATGATGAATTTCTAGTAATGATTTTGAAATTCCACATTTGTTGCATAAAAAATGTAACGATCTCTTAATCTTATTATTGGTTAGTTATTTCTCGTCTCTCTCGATCTGATTCATTATCATGTAATGTAACATTTTATAGAATATATATATATATATATATATATATATATATATATATATATATATTCCTGTTTAATACTGTCTCGCAAAATCTAATTTGGTTTACTAATTTTTGTTCATTCATTACGCGAGGAGAATCGTGAAGCGAGAGAAGCGCGTGATTTTGAGCGATGAGTAGCCTGCTGATTACGCAACTCGTGCAGAAATCGATATTGGCTTATCTTCGACAAGCACAACGGAATCCATTATTTCATTGATAGCCTTATCTCACTGAGAGAGGACTGGATTTTTCGATCTCGCGTGAGCCGGGCTCATTAACGAGCAAGAAATGTTCAACGTAGCCCAGTTAATTAACGTCGATTACGATCGATCATGCGAGTTCAATGCTCGTCGTCGTGCGATCTTACGGGACGCGAAACGCTACCGTCTTCTTTCTGTCACTCGTATTTATCTGTGGAAATGACATCACATGACGCCGTTACATTATGCCGATATCGCGCGGACAGTATGCAAAATAATGCAAATGACATGTCTAAACTACTCGCCCTCTGTCCTTCTGTATAGAACGCCCGTCGTGGCGGTTTAGAAGGTCCGAAGGACGAATTTAGAATGGCGAAAAAGAGGCCCGATGTGCCTCTTTTTTGCCATTAATTTTCCTCGTTCAGTCCCGACGATCGAGAGCAATGCTAGCGGCAAAAATTTTAGAATATTCGTCTTTTAGGATGGTTATGTTAATATATGCAGAAACTTAATGTTCACGCTTTTTTATATTTGGAGAGAATATATTTCATATATTCATCAAGACAAGAATATTTCTCGTCGTGCTGTATTTAATAATTTATATATATATATGGAAAAAGAAGGAAGACTTTTATAAGCGATTTCTTTTATGCGCTTTTAAATTCTGAAATATATATTAACCTTTTGTGGTCCAACTCGCTTTTTTTTATTCTTACATAGAAGATATATAATACCTATATGTTTTCCTCTTTTACTGCGAAGTATTGAAATGCACGACTCGAATAATTGCGACGAATGTAACAATATTTGTATTGAAAAATAACTTTGCATGATAATGCATGCATATACCTGCATCTCAAATAATTTGTTATGTCGGACGATGTATGAATTATTGAAGCGACTCTAATAGAGAAATATTAAATATAATCGTTGTACATACTTTTCACGGGGTAACTCTTACTCTATTATAGGGACTGAACCGCCTCTTATCTGCAGTCCCACTCTGCCAAGGCAATAGTAAGAATAGCGTTGATAAGAATCGCTTGGATGGTCTAGTGGTTTATCAGTGTTCTAGCTATCGGGCGATTCACAGCTTTAGTCGATCTAATATCGGAACATATTACACGCAGCTACGATCGACTTGGATGTCTTGCAGGTGCTGGCATGGTGGTAATTACTGTCGAGCTGGGCGTGCGTACTAATTACAGGCATTAGGTAATCACCTGTGTGAAACGAGCCGCGGGACATTTTACTTTCATTCTCGTACTCTGTTCGAATATATATGAAAATTATACAATTTTCTTACAGGGTATTATTACAAAGCGTAATAATTAATAACAGGTCTTTTCTATCGCTCATCATGAAACGTTAACCGGAAATAGGCGCGCGATGAGTGCGTAATATTTTGTTATCGGTTATTTTATCTATTTAATCCTACTTTCCGACGATTATCGCGCTTATCTTCGCATCGGCAGATAACATGTGTGCGCGTGCATCCAATTTAACTCTTAAAAGTCCACTTCTACCTCCTCGCGATGACCTCCTTTCGGTCGTACATCTCTCTGTACGCGCGCCGAGTTCACTTGAATTTCTACGAGACTCGGCTGCGTTCGAAGATATTGATCGACATCATTACTCGAACGTTTTTATTGCCACGTGTGGCGCATCGTTTCAGGGATATTCTGAATTATGTAATTTATCTTTGAGGTGTACGATACATTTCATTGCTATCATCATTATGAAATTCATCGCGTGACATAAAACCGCGCCGTTCGGAAACGCGAAACACACACGCGCGTCGCATTATCGGCAAGCGTAATCACATGTGATTCCTCTCCGTTGCAGATACATTAGATCGAAAGATGCAGGCAGCACCGCCTCTGCTGTCGCTCCTCCTGATTCTCCTTCATCATTCAGGATGGACCCACGGACTTTGCAAGCTGGAGAACAGCACCGTAGCGTGGTGCGACGTGCTGGAGGATCTCGGGCAGATCGAGACGTATCATCTGGAGACACTGACGGCTCCAACCGCACAAGACACTCTAATCCCAGATCTCTTCGACAATCTGACCAGCCTTAGGCATCTCGATATGTCTGGTGGCTATTTAAAAACGATCGAACCAGGAAGTTTTCGAGCTCTAAGTAATCTGAGAAGTCTCGATCTCAGCAATAACCATATCGAGTATCTGGAATTAGCTTCCCTGGAGGGCCTGACCGATCTGCGAAAGCTGAATTTGCGAAAGAACGCCATTCGACAACTGCCACCGGCGCTGGCGCGTCTAAAGCATCTCAGGCACCTAGACATCAACGATAATCCGCTTGATTGCAACTGCGCTACCCTTAAAGTACGGGATCTTATCGTGCAGAGAAAGGTATCTGTGTCAAAGAAGGTTTTGTGCGCAGATCCCAGCAACTTGAAAGGCACGTCGCTGATGAAGCCGAACGCGGCGATCGTTTGCAGCTTCGAACAGCAGGATCGCGAGATGCAGAACGATCAGGTGGTGGAAGGATCCGGGACATATTCGGGATCCGGAGATGATATTCTGAATGAGTTTAATAGTGAGGAGGAAGAGAACGAGCATAGCGTAGGAACCAACGGCAACTCGTCGGAGAAGCCTGAAGTAGAGACACCTTCCCCAATTGAAACGATAAGTTCTTCGACAGGATCTTCCGTGATTGAACCCACCATCTCCTCGCAGGAGTCAATCACGGTTGTGGAGGAGACTACCGGCGTTACAACGAATTCTTTGCAAAGTACCGTCGAGGACGAGGATATCTTCTTCGACAGCGAAGAGAGAAAGGAACCAATGTCCACGACCGAAATGTCGAGGAAGAAGGAGGACTTTAAGGACGCCCTGTTTTACCCGTCGGAAGGATCCGGCGACGGGGATGAAGATGGTTCCGGCGAAGGATCCGGAATTATTTTGTCGCGTTTTGGTGAGGAAAAGACTGAGAAGGACAGCGCTAATGAAGAATCATCATCGTCTCTCGCCGGAACTTTATGGGATATATTATTTGGTTCCTCGGCAACCACTGCGATTCCATCAGAGACCAAGGATCTGGATCTCGAACAAGAGGAATTTATAAACGCATCATCTACTAAGCTAGCTACTGAAGAGTCGATTGCGTCGAGTAAAAATCCTCCAACCGAGTCCGACATCGATAAATTTTCTACCGAAACGACCGCGATTACCAACAATGTGGAAGTGTTGAAATCCACTGACAAATCGAAATCAGGTAATGTCAAGGCCGAAGTAAACAGTCTGAATGACGAACAAGCTGAAGTATCTCCGGCCAAGCAGTCCAAGAAGGGCATGGGCTCGTACATCGTTTTGGCGATTCTACTCCTCGTCGTGGCAGTGCTGATCGGTTTTGCCGCATACAGAGGCGATATGTGCAGAAAGAAGAGGAAACGAGGCGACGTGGAGAACGGCACCGAGCTGAGGGATATGCAAAAATCTCTTCTCCCGGACACCGGAAATTTGACCCAACCGAAGATTGCCTCCAATGGAAATCCTGAAAACATTCCTCTCGTGGAAGGCACTTCCGATGGTGACGACGCGAAAATCGATAAAATTCAAAACGATCATCATCCAATTCAAGAAACGCCGCGATCTCTCAATGGCACTGCCGATCATATGGATCCCGTGAAACCACCCCGAAAGTTGATTAACTCGCAGGACGATCAGAAGAGTGAAGATAGACCTCGCGTGGACGTAAACTCCTTGAGGGAGAACTTTCTGGCGGGTAGGACGAGCCCCGCACAGCCATCCGATTCATCGTTAGCGACGAACAATGGGCCAAAGGCGCATATCTCGGAGGCCAACGGACCACCGCTCAGTCCCGGGGCTCAAAGAGTGAAGATTACCCTGCAAGAGAATCCCGACAGTGTGCCAAAGACGCCCGTACTCATCACGCGAACAATGGCCGGTGAGAATCTAGTCAAGACGCCATGAAGCAGTGTTCTGAGAAGAATCTACGCGACATAACGGACGTTATGTCGATCGACCGACGCGTTTGTCTGTCGAACGGAGGAAAAATCGGAAGGACGAATGTGTAGCGCGAGAGAAGAGAGCTTTTCGACGAATCTGTCGTAATTTATAACACCTGTTGTTCCTAAACCTACATGTAGAGAGGCCTTTTCGCGATGAATTTTCGTGATAAAAAAGATTACCAAGTCAAAGATCATGTTTACATATACACATATATACACACGCCGACAGTAATAAGAGACACTATTGTTTACAGGAAGCTGAAGGTGTGCGATAAACGGTTGAGGTATAGGTGCGATCTCTCTCTCTCTCTCTCTCTCTCTCGAGCCGTTTCGTTGAATTATCGGTTGCACGAAATGGCTATATGTATATATTTGCTATGCCATATAGGATATTTCAGATATCGCATTTTTCTTTTTTTTTTATTTATGATATCATATTGTCTAAACATTCTTTAAAATTAAACCTCAAACACAAATCTTTTAAACTCGAATAAAAAATTTGTTCGAATAAAATCTAATTGAAAAATTAAAATAAATTTGTTCTTTTTTTTAATCTAATTATACATTCTTAATGATTAACTATCGAAGTCCTGCAATTTTCAATATTAAATTTATTAACTGTCACACAACTGTCATTTCTTTCAATTTTATTGAGAAGAAATGCACAATATCTATAACACTTTACATTAACATCATACGTAGAAATCCACGAGTGAAATAACACGTTCGAGATTAACACCACAGTACACTAGTCAGTTTTCCTGACAGATCTCGTGCGTCCTGTGAGCGAGGACCTCGAGTACATATGTATATATCCCGCGGTATATTTGTCGTCGCGTGAGATTGCATCGCGAGGATCCTTAAATTAATCGAAGAGCGATAGTATTCGCTGCATGTCAGTGAATCGGGAGCATTCCAGTTTGCTGCCATATATTTTTCTACGTAGCTTCGAAAGATTTTACACTCCATTGGCCTTATGCCGTCCTTTTATCGAGCCACAGATTATTTTTCAACCGGACAACGCGTACCTCGTAGTTTTAGCGCGGTGTTTTAAGTGTACACTGTTTACGCGATTGAATTTGTAATTCAATGAGAGGCGGAGTTTGTCAATTATAAATAATGACTTTCGAATCGGCTTATGACAGTCAGAGTGTGAATGCTTGATGAACGATTCGTGTTACTACAGTTAACGTTATGTAAGACTCGTTATTCATGTCACAGAAAATATATACGTAATAATCCTGTTATTATATTATTCCTTATAGTGGATACTGCGATCCCCTCCCGCGAAATGATTCCTTGAAGACCTTATGGAAGGCCTTCCAGGAAGGCAGCACTTGAATTTTTGTACGCATTAACATATTTATTTGTTGTGCAAATTAATGCGGGGATCTACGAAAGAGACAGACCGACTTCGCGTATAAGTACGACGGCAGTCCATGGACGTTGATCGCGTGATTATCAGTTAAGCGGACACGTCATATGGTTGTGCGCGGAGTGACAAAGCGCCACAATGTGTTATCATATTATCATAATCGACCATTTTATTATTCTAACGTACGATTCTTTAAGCCAAATGTGTCGAACGCTGTGTACGGCGTATATGATTTAATTCTTAAGATATAGCGCGCGGATACCGTTAAATCGATATTTGTCCCAACGATACGCGCTGTTGAATTTAATTAAGGGAATAGCGATAAAACGAACGGCTCAGTGAAGATTGAAAGACTTTATTTATATGTTCAATCTTTGATCAAAATAAAAGAAAGTGTTATTTTGTTGATATCATCATTTTTTTTTTAATTCTACGTTTCACGGATAATATTTTGTTTGATGTATTTATCCTCATTTTTTGTTTATATCATTGGACACAGTCAGCGATATTGTTACAATATTTGTTTTATACTCGATATATGATTAATCAACAATACGTTTTGCTTTTGAAAGAAAAAACGAGTAAGTTAACATTTACAAAAGACGCGGGAATAAATAACAAATACATGAAGATATACGTGACAATATTCTATAAATACCGTCACGTATATCTGCATGTATTTATCGTATTAAGAATAAATATAATTTTAACTTTGGATATAAAAAATTTTAATTATATAAACAACTTAAATGAAATCTCACAAATCTTAAATATCTCTGTATTTCTTCCGTAATAATCAACTTATTACATAGATAGATGACGACCGTTGTAAGTAAAATGTGTGTGCACATAATATTTCTGTTATGTAAAATTATCTAAAACTACAAAAAATCTGATAATGGATAACTGGAGTATTATTGAAGATATACTCCTAAGTGTTTAATCATTTATAATCATTTATAATCTATGCGTATTATGTCGGCTCTCTATTTTTTCTTTTCGCTTTTTTTATTCTTATAAATGATATAATAATATAAGGGACGATATAGATTTATAACTATAATCTTCAAGAATTTTAATTTTTCTCAGATTGACAAAAAAAACCGTAATTTAAGATTGACGCTATTCGAATTGATATAAAAAAATGTGACGTTATTACAGGTAAAAACTTGACAGAAGAGGCAGTGTTTCAAGAAAAGATGTTCGTACTTTTATCCTTTTCTAGCGCAAATCTTTTCTAAAAAATGATTTTATTTATTATTTGTATTAATTTTTTTTTTGGCAGAATATTTATCAGATCATAATCGACCATTTTATTATTCTAACGTACGATTCTTTAAGCCAAATGTGTCGAACGCTGTGTACGGCGTATATGATTTAATTCTTAAGATATAGCGCGCGGATACCGTTAAATCGATATTTGTCCCAACGATACGCGCTGTTGAATTTAATTAAGGGAATAGCGATAAAACGAACGGCTCAGTGAAGATTGAAAGACTTTATTTATATGTTCAATCTTTGATCAAAATAAAAGAAAGTGTTATTTTGTTGATATCATCATTTTTTTTTTTAATTCTACGTTTCACGGATAATATTTTGTTTGATGTATTTATCCTCATTTTTTGTTTATATCATTGGACACAGTCAGCGATATTGTTACAATATTTGTTTTATACTCGATATATGATTAATCAACGATACGTTTTGCTTTTGAAAAAAAAAACGAGTAAGTTAACATTTACAAAAGACGCGGGAATAAATAACAAATACATGAAGATATACGTGACAATATTCTATAAATACCGTCACGTATATCTGCATGTATTTATCGTATTAAGAATAAATATAATTTTAACTTTGGATATAAAAAATTTTAATTATATAAACAACTTAAATGAAATCTCACAAATCTTAAATATCTCTGTATTTCTTCCGTAATAATCAACTTATTACATAGATAGATGACGACCGTTGTAAGTAAAATGTGTGTGCACATAATATTTCTGTTATGTAAAATTATCTAAAACTACAAAAAATCTGATAATGGATAACTGGAGTATTATTGAAGATATACTCCTAAGTGTTTAATCATTTATAATCATTTATAATCTATGCGTATTATGTCGGCTCTCTATTTTTTCTTTTCGCTTTTTTTATTCTTATAAATGATATAATAATATAAGGGATGATATAGATTTATAACTATAATCTTCAAGAATTTTAATTTTTCTCAGATTGACAAAAAAAACCGTAATTTAAGATTGACGCTATTCGAATTGATATAAAAAAATGTGACGTTATTACAGGTAAAAACTTGACAGAAGAGGCAGTGTTTCAAGAAAAGATGTTCGTACTTTTATCCTTTTCTAGCGCAAATCTTTTCTAAAAAATGATTTTATTTATTATTTGTATTAATTTTTTTTTTTTGGCAGAATATTTATCAGATCAATACCCATTTTGTTGATTTAGCATTAAATATGTGATCGTATTATTCTCTTAGATAACTTTTGTGTCAAAAAGACAAATTTTACGCTCTTTAAACAGTCACGTTTTTGCACAAAATGCAATAAAGCTTCTGCAGAAAATTCTCTCGCGATCTAGTCCTTATATTTTTATTAAAAGTATCAAACAATTAATCGTATGTGCTTGAAATAATTTAAATAATCTAGTTTACGATTCGCGTTGTACGAATGAATCTTTATAACCGCTTCTGGGTTCACGTCGAAGTTCCCTGATGACAATGGATCGGTTAAAATTCATTATCTGGACGTCGGAAGCCTCGTCATCGGTCACATGTTCGTCTCGAAACATCTGTCTTCTCCTTTTCTTTTTCGTGTTAGGGGTTTGTGGCCTCGGTCTGTCCTTGCTACTACTGGATTCCAAGGACTCCTCTACGACGCTGTGCCTCCTGGACCTGCGCGCCGTCGAGACCCTAGAATTCCTGGGATTCGTATTTTGCGTTTGATCCATGGTCTCGCAGATATTGCCACTGGAATTATTCCTTTCTCTTCTGATCCGTTCCTGCCGACGTTCTTCTCGTCTCAACAGATCGTCCTCGCTCTGAGTTCGTTTTCGATTCGTCTTCGTTCTTCTCGTTCTCCTCTTCTTCACCCGTAGATTATCCACGGAACTCATGGGGCGCAGAATACCATCTTCAACGGAGATCTCGTTTAAAGCATCCATGGAATGAACTAATCTGGGCATGTGGACTGCATCCTCATAGCTGGGTGGACCGATTAATTCCAGAGGATTAATTCTGGGTTCCGCTGAATTCTCTAGATTTTCTATTTCTTCTTCCAAACGTTGATTTCTGAAAATACATTCACTGCATTAATTTTATTTGATTTTATCGTACTTTGATTTTATCATTGCAGTTTATGCAAAAAGTGTAGCATTTTTAGAATGTCAAGATAAATTAAGAATTCTTATTTACAGAATCCATCTAAAAATTTAACTATGTCGGTAACGCGTTCTCTGATATCACCTGGGAAGAAAATAATGATGTACCAGCTTACGAAATTGTGATGTAAAATCTGTGCGTGTTGCGGTTCTGGATAGGAGAGATATCTATCTTATCTGTTGCAGGTAGAGATGTCCATTTTATACTGACATATTTTTTATTATTTATATGCGACTGTGATTTTCGAAAAATTTGAAAAACGTAACGCGGATGTTAAATTAACAAAATTTTAATTTTGATTCTCATAACGCCAACGGTAGTATAGTTTGTTACGAGTTTATTGATAGTACATGTATCGATTTATATAAAAAGAAATGGTATATAAAATAAGGGACATTGTAATATATATTTAACACTCATGCATAATAAACTTGGCAATTAATAATTCAAAAAGATTCTTACCGTCTTGCATACAAAAGTCGTAATCTTTCTCTCTCCTCTGACAATTCGAGTTGCCGCCTGTGCTCTAGAACTCTTCTTTTTATTCTCATAGTATGTTTGATCGATACCACGCTGCCACACATAACGACCAGAATGAGCAAGCTGACCATTACCATTCCCCAAGTTCTATCTTTGTTGTAATACAAGTCGGTGTTCCAAGCATCCAAACACGCGGCTTCCCACGAGTAGCCGGAAACGTTCGCCGGACTCTGGCAAATCAAGCTCGATCCCACCGTTTTGCCGACAGGAACCGTTAAATATTCGAAGGTGTCGTAGAGTTGCGTGCAGTCGCATCTCCACGGATTATCCTCTAAACGGATTACGGTCAAATCTAAATTGTGTTCAAATATATCAGGATCCATCGCCTCCGTCAAGCGATTTCCTAAAAATTTATTTATTACATTCAATATAAGTATATATAACGAAATATATATCGAAACATGTAATAAAACAAGAAATCGTAGATATAGAGATTGATTTTAAAAGACAATAATAGTAATTCCTCAATATATGTACAAAAACAATATTTCAAGAACTAATCAGAGAATTCTTGAAAACTTTTATTTTTTTACTTTTTTATCATATATATATTTCTAATATTGTAAATCTTTTTTCTAACTGTAATTTTGAAAAGAATTATTGACTTGAATTAACTTCACTATTTACTCTCTGTAATTTTACTATTATACTTTTTTCTAATTACGATCTACTGATTGTCTTTGTAAATTCTATTTTATATTAAAGGGATCTTTTTCTTCTGTTTACATAAATAAATTAATAAATTAATTAATTAACAATGGAGTTCTCAAAATCAGATATCTCTTTGGTATGTTTATATTCTTGGCTCTTATCGCCAGATATGTAAATTCAAATGTATATACCTGACAAGTCGATTTTTTGCAACGACGGTAATTCAGCGAAGCTGTTATTGTGCAACTCGACGAGTCTGTTTTTCTGCACATCTAGTACTTTTAATGTTTTTGATTTTAAGCTGCGTGGCAACAATTGCAGTTGATTATTCCTCAAGTTTAAACTTCTGATCCTAGGCATGTTCTCCAGAGAATTTGCATTAAAGCGGCTGATCAGATTGAAGGACAGATCCAGGGACGTAACGAAAGACAAGAAATCCGGAAATCGGTGTAGAGAGTTGTAGGAAAGATTTAGCAGCCTGAGATCTATGTTTTCCTGGAACATCATCTCGGGAACATCCTCGAGATTGTTCGCAGACAGATCAAGCGTCTGAAGCTTCATTAGGCCGTCGAAAGTGCTGGCGTTCAATCGCTCAAGACTATTCGCATTCAGGTACAGATGCATCAGCTGCTTGTTCTTGGCGAATATACGATCCGGCAGTATATGAATCGTATTGTGAGAAAGATAAGCGTGCGTCAACGACGGAAAACCGTGAAGACCGGGTCTATCGAGAGTACATCTCGATACGTCCAGTCTCTTCAGCTTCGAATGTTGTAAGGTCGAGGGTCTGCAAACAGATGATGTTTTCCATCACTTGTATAATCAATAATATTTATTAAATAAATTATCATATATTTCTTATACAAAATCTTCAACAATTATTTTTAATACAAATGAGGTATAGTCAAGTGAAATCTTATTACCGAGTACTATAAACTAACGTAGGATTGTTGACCAATCGTAGTTCTTCTAGTTCTGGAAGTCTACTCAAAGTATCTGGATATAGGTAATTCAAATTGCAATCGGACATGTCCAACCATCGCAGTGTCCTACTGACAGGCGTTTGAATAATCTTCAACGGATTTCCCGCGAGATTCAGTGTCGTAAGACCTGGCAGTCCATTCAAAGATGCATTACCGAGTTCCCTTATAACTAAAATATAGAAAACTCTTTTTTAGTTTAATGCGTAAAACATGTTTTATCTATAATCTTATAAAAAATTGGTTATATATTTTTGTATAAAAAAATAAGCAATATTGAGATATGTATATGATTACATTTTTACATATTAAATATTGTTACATTTTACATATTACATATTATATAAATTAAATTTTATGTATTAAAAAAATTTTATATACGTAATTTTTATTTCTAAAAAAATTATCTTTAAAGATTATACTTTTATAAAACTTTTCACTAAATAAATATTTTATACTTATGATCATCTTAATACATACGGCAATGGCCGGCATCCACTGCCTGAAGTACCTCGCTGGTTAACCCTTTTAAGTCAAGTAATTGATTCTTTGAGATGTATAGAACCCTTAGGGACGGTAGCTGGTTAATGGAAGCAATATCTGCCGTGTTTGCGATAATGTTATCTGATAGATCTAGTCTTCGCAAATTTATTAATTCTTCAAGATTATTTGGCAGGGAAGTGAGCTGATTCTTGGCCAGATTCAAATACTGCAGCTCAGTCAGTCGATTAATCTTGTCCGTGATCTCAGTTAAAAAATTGCTCGACAAATCCAGATGCTCGACCTATTGCAAAAAAAAAAAATAATTAATTAATTTTAGACAATAATTTGCACATGAACACATAATTAATTACAAATATAGATTAATTTATAGAAATATAAAGTATTTATAAAAGTATTTATAAAATACTCTTTTCCATACTATTCATAATATCATTCATAAAATTGTACATCGATATTTGTTACTTGTTAACTTGTGTAGTGATTCATTTATCTTGATTACATATCTTTCTCATGATTCTCACTTTGTTGTACATTTATTTTGTTATCGAAATAACACCACTACCTTATTTTATATTGCGGACGCGATAAGATGCAATAAGTAAGTATTACCTTGTATTCATCGCGTGCGCTTAATTACAGCGAGATTTACTCGCGATTAAAAGAAACAAAAACCGATAAAAAGGCTTCATGGTAAATCTATACACTCACAATGTCACTGATATTTTCGGGGAATGTCTGTAATCCTTGCCTCGAGCACTCGATAGTCCTGGGTATTTGGTTCAGGTAGCATAGACACCTGGCAGGGCAGACGCTCTGACAGTTCGCGATCGACAAAATCGTCAGCCACGTGATCAGCAACAGGGGCACGTCGCGATGCATCATCGTCGATCGTTCCTCCATGTTCCTTTTTATATCATCGTCGAGGCGAGTCAGGTCGTCGAATAATCGCGCGTAACCCACATTCTCGCACAGCCGCGCACAATTCACTTCGTCGCCGTCATCGATACAATATTTGCGAGCTCTCGGTCGCGCGGTATCATCGCGCGTCGTCACAACGGGATCGCTCAAAATTGATCGCTTCAAGGATTCCTCCGTCTACGAAAATCGATGACCAAGCACAGTGCCGGTTTCTCCGAACCGTGCTGAAAGAGTACTGAGTTGTACTAGTTATCTTTGATAAGTAACGCCAGGGTACACGCCGCGCGATATCTCCGTAAGATAACCAGATTGCCGCGGTGTTGAGGTGTCGAGCGCGTTATTCCGTACAAAAAGGACAAGAAAAAACAAAGAATCGGACGAGGATAGAGTATGCATGCGCGATGGTTTGTTCCACTATGTGAAAAACATCAGCGATATTTATCTATCTATCTTATTTCCTTGCAAGCGACAAAGCCACTATTGTCAACTTATCTTATTTGATGAAACTACATTGCATTTTGGAAATATTTCATCATTAATTGATAATTAATTTTTTAATGGTAAATTAATATTAATTATAATAGATTCTTAACGATGTACGAAATCGTCAATTAACAATTTTAAATATCCAGTGATATATAAACTTTTTTTACGCTTATTTATAATTTATATATTCAAACTTAAATCTCATAAGTTTTTCATTATTGATATTAGCGTTGCTAAATTATTGAGACATGGATTTTTTAACGAGCTTTCACCGTAGATTGGAACGTTTCGTCGAAAGCGGCAATCCAGGAAAGCAGGTTTTTCCGCATAGAAGACATGAATGGAAATTTGCATGGGCAGTGCCGCGGAAAATATAAGACATTAGATAAATATCTCAAGTATCCCGAAAGCCGATATTGAAGCGGGCATCTCTAAGCCTCTCTCGGCTGACCCATGCGGATATTTTCCCCTTCTTCTCGTCACTGTCGCCGCATTACGATCTTTTTTTCGTCATTTTTTTTCCTGTTTGATCCGATGGAACCGTATCTGCGGCTCCTTCTTTCCGAAACGAACATCCGACGTAGAGGATTAGGTCAGATACAAGAGAGTTCGTTATATTTATATTGCATTATCTATATATGTACGCGGGGATTGCTTATCAGATCTAATATAGACTGCCTCTTTTTATGATAGTTTTGCAAATTATAATTATAATGGCAAGAATTATAACTATAGATTTTACATTTTATAACAATCATAATGTAAATCGTGATTTATCAAAATAAAAAAAGGTTCTTAAAATTTTGCGAAAATTTAAATTTTTAATTGCACAATTAAATTCACATTTTGCATTTTGGATCGTTTAAAAAAGTTGCAGGAGAAGATTTATAAATCTTGTAAATAGAAAAATGCTAAGATTTATAAATGAGATTTTTATTTCAACAACAAGACAAATTGGACAAGTTGCATTAATCTCTTCAACAGGTGAGATTAATGATACCGACGTCTTAATGCACAGAACACAAGATTAAATAATGTGGAGCAAAATTCGTCTTGATATACAATTGAATAAAAAAAAACATTAGTGAGCGAGGATTTAAAAATCGTTTAGCTAAATGTAATAATAAACTCGGCAAAACATTGCTGAAAATTTGCGGTGAAAAACCTCGGTGGAAAGCTCCACCCCTCAGAGAGAGGGATTTAAAAAGACTCTATCCGCGCGCAGGACTGAGTCGCTCTCTTTTTCACACGTCCGGACCAATGGGGAGGGTCCACACCCTCGCGGAGGGTGAGAGGAGTTTAACCAGCGCCGGCGCTTAGCCCTAGGCTTATCCGGTGGGGAAGAGGACGTTCTCTACCTGTTGATACTAAACCAACCCCTTTGCTGCGATTTCGCAAATCCGGAGTTTCACATCGTACTCGCGGTCACGCCCTCCGGTTCAACAGATATCCGCAATTTTCCGCAAGCAATCCTTCCTAAAATGCGCGATTTTATGATAAAAAAATATTATATTCCATAAAAATGTCAGAATAATAACATAAATTATTTTACTTTGAAAATTAAATTTTTAGCGACATCAGAAAAAGAGAAAGATTAAGCTACCTGTCAAGGGAGATATTATTTAATCGATTTTGTGTCGCGCTTTTTTCTAGGAGGGATAAAATATATTTTTCACTAACATGTATATAATCACTTAACTGTTTAATGTTCCATTAAACAGTTAAATAAGAACCATTACTGCCTCGTAACTCTTGTGTAATATAGTTAGTCTAACGATAATTTGAATTTATCTAACAACAGTCTAAATACAATATAATTGAAAATCAAATCTCTTTTATATCGATTTCTCATAATTACATATTTTATAACAGGGATTTCCTCTTTTTCTCTGATTGCACCTTTTAATCTATACAATTGGATATGCGATAGCGGTTGCGTAAATATTCACGCAGTATCGAATACGTGCTAGACGCAGTAACCGCCGCGAAATGAAGATTCCAGCCGCGAGAATGGCTTCGGGATCGATCATCTCGGCGTGTCGATTACTCACGCTCACCCTTGCGCACCGAATACCAGCGAACCAGGTAGCAGATAGCTATAATTAAAAGTCGATCAGACCGAGTCCTCCCAGATAAAGAGCCATCGCCCGCGCGAGCGTACAGTACGCTCCAATAACGATTATATCTCAGTCATCTGACGGTGCGAACTCGTAATCAGCAGAACCAGTGAGTGAATTTTAAATAATGATGAGATTGTGACTTTATATCGATAAACATCAGTGATATCTAATAACCATGTATTAAAAATTTGAAACAACTGAAAATATATATTGTGTAAAATTTATTAACACAAAGATATATCGAAGGACTAAATAAGAAAAAAAAAAATATCAAGAGAACAATATAATATCATGTCTTGTCAGTAACGGAAAAAATGATTTTCCTTTGTTGCAAGATACCGAGAAGATAACTATATCTCCTTATTATGACAAGAGAGTGGAATGATTATGATCTATCTGTTCTACTTGATTATCGCGTGTAAAATAAAATGATTAAAACAGCTCGTCATCGCTTTAGCTTTCCTTCGACATCACGCGAGTTGCACGACTTATCCTGGCGCACGTTCCTCCATCGCGAAATGTCTCGCCAGCGGATCGGTCCCCTCGTCAACTATTGAGGGCACCTGTACCGGAGAGGATATAATACCGGCGCGCGCTATCTGGAGTATATTTTTAACGCCTTCATTTCCGGCCGCGCTGGGACACCGGAAATAGCGGGACGATACCTCGCGGTGTTTCAGGTATTGATCAGTTCGAGGAGCGGGTGCCATCCACCCACTCACCCACCTACCCCCGGCGGATGAGGCAGGGAAGGAGGGAGATGCACGGCTCTCTGCAGACTCGAAGCTTCGACCTCCTCCCTTTTCCACCCCTCGCCGACACTACCCCCGCGTTCCCGCCACCTTTCCGCGCCGCCGCCAACGTCCCGCTGGCGACGCCCCTGTCCTTCCACCCCCAACCGCCGGCAGCGGCGTAACGTCGAAGATGGATCTTTAGGTATCTCCGCCGTCTGCGCTCGGATCTTCGGACTACGCTCCGCTGGTTCGGAGCAAACGAAAGGCGGGTGGGTGGCTGGTAGGGCGCGTTTTTTTAGGGAAGAAACGAAAACGACGGAATAAACTTTGTTGCCTCGCGACTCACACCCGCGACGACACATACACAGGGGGAGGTATCGATGGCCGCGTCGATGACCGGAATATGGCTTGTAACAAACGATGAAAGGATTTGAGAGAATGAGAAATTTTGAATGGACTAGCTCAAATAACGACGACTTTGAGACGCGTGTGCAAAGAAATTTCTCGATGTTAACAATAAAATATTAATAATAAAATTAAATGTGAGTAAAGAAAGAAATTCTTGGACGTTAACAAACTACGATAAAATTAAAAAAGAAAACTAAATTTGAATCTACAATAAATTTGAAAACGTAGTGCTAATATAATAATTAAAAGTAATGAGATGTTTAATACATTCGCGATTATTTTTTTAATTGTATATTATAAAAATAATTCCCACTCATTTATGCTATCTTATTTTGTGACACAGGTAGACGAAGACATGTGGAGTATTATGCGCGCCGATTCGCGATTTCGGAGTGATTTTATTTTCCCTAAACGCGTCCCCACCTCTCCTTAAGCTGGGTTATAAATAACGGCTTATCTTTTGTCGGCTTCAACGCCGCCACGACCCCGTACAAAGCCAAACTCTACCCCTCCTGGCGCATCCTCTCCGCCACCTTTTATGCCTTCGTAAGGGGGTCGCGCGCGAGAAGACGTCTCTTGAAACGTGCACTCATAATTGCTTTGGCGTGTCCCTAAATCAAATCCCGCGATTTTTCCGCGTTGAAGAACACCTACGTGTGTTTTGCGGAGAAATAAAGCTACGATCACAATAAACTCTCACCTCGAATATTCGATCAGAGCTCCAATCTGTAAGCCTTTTAGCAATTGAAAAGATACTTTTGACAAATCCCTTGCAACCCACACAATTTGTAAAAATACAATACAATACAATATAATACAATACAATTTCTAAAAATAAGGTTTGATGATTAATATCTTATTCTTATTTTGTTTTACTGACAAGTAGTAATTAGTTTTCGTTATTTTTAATATTTGAAACAAACATGTAAATAATATTTAATATATTTGGAAACATATAAGGGGATATTATTATATAAATCATTTATTCAGTTTGTTTCAACTGGAGCAAAGGATTGATCAATGACAATTCGCTTTTACGTGACATTTATATTTGATAGTGAGTAATATGTATATCGACTCTCTCAGAGACATTGGCGCCTGTAAGTAGTTAGACCTTTATGATGTCACGTATTTAAACTTCATAAGCGTGATTAAGCGCTAACTTGTTCAAAAGCTGTGCCATGTATGAAGCAACGACTGGTAATTTCGTATAGTTAGCGTCAAATACTGTACGTTACACTGCTGGAACGAACTCAACTGTATGTCGATGCAAGCGGCGCGTTTTACGCTGAAATCAATGTGGGATCTTACGACAGACATTTATCAAGTTGTCGCTTAAGCGGGTTGCTAGTTGACGGCTCTGCGCGATGTGGAAGTAGCTTAAGTAGCTGGATTTCTCGCTGATATTTGAATGGATGTCGGCTATTTGTGGTTCACTGCGTCCTTAACAAGATCAG